ACACACACACACACACACACACACACACACACACACACACACACACACACACACACACATATTATACCCACGGGGAGCACACAGAGCTGAGGATAAGGCTTTGCCATGCAGCATTGCAAATCAGGACAAAATATACTGATTGTGAACCAGTGCCTGAGGGCAACTTGTATGCAGGCTCAGGCCAGCAAAGTAGCAAGCAGCTCCACCTTGTTGTCTCTGCTTTACGCCCGAGTGTCCTACTTTCGCTCTCTTTTGCCTCTCCCACACCTTGGAGGATATTACAAAGGCACAGAGTTGCTTTAGGACATTTCAATCATGGCAATCTCCCACTCATTCATATTCCTGCTGGTTTTATAACACCTGCAGTGTTACAGAAACTATGACAGCGTGGGATCACAAATTTTTTGACCCCAGGCCTTTCAAAGCAGTCCGTCCACTCACTGTTTTGTCCTATGTGGACTCTGTGATATAATAGACTCCACACAGAGGAGTATGATCAGTGCTTGGACAAAAAAAGTCTCTCTGTCGACAGCTTTCTTTTTAATTTCATGTTGCCTTAGTTAGGAAAAGAAGAGAAGGAGTTCAGGCTTCTCACCGGAAAGTACAAAAGGTCCACACTTTGACAAGTGCCATCAAAAATCCTGGGAGAACCACCCTCGAAGGTCAGGCATCAAACGGCATCCCAGAACTCTTATTTTGCATTATGGATTGAGCTTCTCCTCAGGACTTCAGTGAAAAGAAGGCTTTGTTCATCAATGCCACAAGGACTAAAATATACAGTTGGTAGAAGGGCACAACCTTGGTGTTAGTATTCAGTGTGCAGAATGTGTCATGCCAAGGCTTCATCCTGAAGTATGACAACTTTCGAAAATATTCTCTTTGATGTTTTTACGCATTCATGTGGGAAGCAAACAAAGAGTGTGGATGCCACACAAACAACACAAACATACAATGCAAACGAAGATACAGAACCCACCCATAAGATCTTTCGTGCAGGTTTAAAGACAACAGCAAAGTTTAGACATAAATATATATAAATGAGCTGTCAGTCAGAACTGATGTTTAAAATAGATGAGGGTAATTAAAATTCAAAATATCCTGTTTGAGCAATTTTAAATCTGGTCACCCGGATCCAGGGTTAATCTCATGAAAACGCCATAACCGCATTAACGCCGCAAATCTCCGTTAGCGAGTTGACAAGCCGTGCGTGGGGCTGCACGACGTCAATGCATTAGTGCGGTTAGCCCGTTAGCGCGTTAGCGCTGTCCAGCCCCATGCACGGGGCGATCCGCGTCAACTCGATAATGGAGATTTGCGGCGTTAATGCGGTTATGGCATTAACGTCATTTTAACGAAATTAAAGCTGACAGCACTAGTAATAAATTTCTGGTAACTTATACTATGTGGGTAAGTTTTAGAGAGAAATGCATGCCACATCTGCATTCTGCATTTCTATCAGTGCGACAACAGTCCTGTGAGGGAACAGTAGTTATTTTAAATTAAAACATTGACCAGTGACTTTAATATTGAGAATTGAGGCGGTCTAATATTATAACTCTGTTGATCAAAAGAGTTATGTTTTCTCAGCCACGATGCCTTTTTGCACACGTAAACTGTAATTCTTTCAGACATTTGAATGCACGGAACCGTGAACTAACTGAGCTGGTTTCCTTCCTGTAACCTCAAAGTGTTACATATTTCTATGGGCAAAACAATGTTAGTGGTGACCCCTGACAACCTCAACATCTTGTCATACCCCTAAGTATCAGAAAAATAGTAGAACCTATTAAAGCACTGTCAAAATGGCAAGAAAAAAAATCAAAGTTATTTCTGAGCAGATTATCAAACTAATGGATGAGTTTAAAGTTGCTTGACAGCATGGGAGTGTCCCTGTTGTTGGCATCAGTGACATGATACAGCAGGCTTCAGCCACATTCAGAGGTGGACCCTTATAGAAAATGCCATGTTCCTAAACCACAACTCAGAAACGGCTATAGACACAGCATTGGGCCTTGAACATCCACAATCATTGTGAAATATGTAGGAGAAACACACACACACACACACACACACACACACACACAGGTTAGCTTTGATTTTCGGGACAGAATCAACAAACACAAAACTCAAAAGTGCTGTGACCTTTTCTGATAAAATGTCAAGAAAAATTGCAAAGATGCAAACACACATACACACACACATACACACACACACACACACACCTCTTAACAGTGTTAAAGGTCATCTCGTATTGGCTGTAAAGTGTTATTCAAAAGAATCTAAATGGCAAGAACAAGAACATAACCAAACCCGGCCCCTAACAAGAACAATCACCAGTATGGATCGCAGTTATTTTGACACAGAGTAAAAAATGTACCTACAGCTAATGTTTATGGTAAAGCTGATTCTTCTTCATGTTTCCCATGTGCAGTCACATGCACCTTAAGGATTTCTTCAACTCACTGAGAGAACAGACACATCTACACAACTTTAAAAACATTCACAGAGCACAGATGACCTTGAATGGAAGACAAATGAACTTTATGGAGTTTTATGCATTGAATTGTGAATGGGATTCATGCCAAACCACTCTTGCCTTGCTTCACTGCCCACTGCAAATTTGAAGGATTAATGTCAAAATGCACTTCACAGCACCAGGTTTGTTGCGGGCCAGAGTGAGATAAATTAGAAATGAGATTAGAAAACCGATTGAGGCGTCAGACTGGAGGGATCTGCTGATTAGGCTCTTCATTTATGGAATGCATTATAAATATCTGCTTTGGGAAATCTCTCCAGTGGGTGGAATGCATTGAACTGAACGTATGCAGAGGAATTTGTGATTATTAA